ATTTTTAATTGTAAATTGTCCAGAACACAAATGTTACCTTTGATCCTTCCTTTTTCCCTGGCCCTGCTTTGGAAAATTCTGACGCTTTTATAAACATTGCCTTTTATTTTTTTTTCCTGAGAAATGTTGGCCGCTACCTTCTAAATTGATCTCAAGTGGCGCCCCACTGTATTCAGGTGAAAATCAACATCTTTAGAAACATGAAAAACGAATGGAAAATGTACTTACATTTCCCTCCAATTCTTTTTCTTCTACAGATTTCATAAATTCTATATACCATATTTTAAAGCCCAGGACGTCAAATATTCGGAAGTTTTCCAGGCCATGTTGGAAAATTGTTTCTGATGCCTGTAGTGAATACGAATTGTAAAACTAACTTGTTCCCTGGGAGGAAAGATCTAAGTTTCAAAAGAAGTTCCATTTAGAAAGCGATTATTGAGAAGTAAATACGAAATAAGTAATACGGTGTGGTGACTTAGCATTTTATTTAGTCTATATAGCTAGCTTTAATTTTAGCATCTTTCCACATCAGACACACACATTAGAAGTCAACGCTTTAAAATTAAAAGTCTGTATTACGCATCGATTTCAGGAAGACAGAAAGAACAAGTATTTTGCACTTGACCGGGGAATAATATTTGCAATTCCTAGGGAGTCGACGAGGGGAAACAGGTTGTGCATTGGGCATTTATTTTCTTTATTTTTTTCTTCTTTTTCTTTTTTTAAATACCAGAACAAAGTGTCCCACTCACGTTCACAGTTACTCTGGAAATGGGTAATGGGAAAAACCCTGGAAGCCACAACTGGAGGCTGGAAAAGTGAGGGCGAGAGTGGACGCCATCGGAAGGTTACGCCCAGGCGGCCGCACAGTATCCAACTTTTCCTCTGTGCGTAGTCGGCAGCGATCCGCACCGTGGTCCAGTTCGTGGTGCTTGCGACGCGGAGATCGGACGCGCCCCCGTGGTCCCCGCCCCGCGGGGCGGCGTGCGCGAGGGCGGGCGGCGCGAAGGGCCGTCCCCCGGCTTGGCTCCAGGGGTGTCCGGCGGGGTCAGCGCCAGGACAGCGTTGCGGATGCCGCTCAGAAGGCCGGCAGGATGCTCTCCCTGCCGGAAAGGCTGGCCACCGCTGTCGGCCTGGAGCCTCCCGCTCCGGGCGGACACCCCAGGCGCGCCGCGGACAGGTGCTGGCCCGGCAGAGCGCCCTCGCTGGGAGCGCGGCCGCTGGTACAGTCCTCCTGCTGCCGCCGCTGCTGCTGCTGCTGCTGCTGCTCTAACACGGTCCGGGCAGCGGACGCCGCAGAGGCAGCCGACACGTGCAGCAAAGGGGTGGCCGCCCGGTGATGCACCAGGCACGGCGAGCGCTGCAGCAGGTGGCAGTAGCCCCACGGAGTCGGGGGCAGACTCTGCGCGGCCCTCGTCCCCCCTCCTCCTCGGACCCCTCGCATGATGCTCTCGATGCTGAAGGGGGCGCATCCGTCTCCCGGCCGCGCCGCCGACCCCTTGCCCTCCTCCCAAGGCTGGGAGCCCGGGGAGGGCCGCACGGCCGAGGGGGCGCCGGGGGTGGCCGGGTCCGCGCCTGGCGCCTTCCCGGGCGTCTCGGCGTAGGCCGGGGCCGACAGCAGCAGGTAGCGAAGGGGGTGCGGGTGCAGCAGCGCGCACGGGCGGCTCCCGGAGGCGGCGGCGGGGTAGGCCCCCGGCACTGGGGGCGGCGGCGCTGGGCTCCCGAGCAGCAGGCCCGGGTAGGGGCCGTGCAGGGCGGCGGGCGCGGCGGGCAGGGGGAAGGGGTGGTGCAGGTGGGCTCCCGGGGGCGGGCGGTGGCGCTTGAAGCGCTTCCTGCGCCGGAGGAAGCTGCCGTTGTCGAACATGTCCCGGGACGCGGGGTCCAGGCTCCAGTAGTTGCCCTTGCCCGGGTGGCCCGGCTCGCGCGGGATCTTGACGAAGCAGTCGTTGAGCGAGAGGTTGTGGCGGATGCTGTTCTGCCAGGCGGGGAACCTGCGGCGGTAGTAGGGGAAGCGGCCGCTGATGAAGGCGCAGATGCCGCTGAGCGTGAGGCGCTTGTGCGGGCTCTGCAGGATGGCCATGGTGATGAGCGCGATGTAGGAGTACGGGGGCTTCGCCGGCTGCGGGCCGTCCGCGGAGGCCGCCGCGGACCCGCTCGACGCCCCGAACTTGGGGCCCAACTTGGCGTCGGCCGGGGCGCCGCCGCCCTCGGGGAGCCCTCCGCCAAGCGCGCCCGCGCCGCGCCGCGCCTCCCGCGTCCCCGGCGGGGGCAGCTGCCCTGGCAACGGCTGGCTCTCCGCCGCCTCGCCTTCCTCGTCCTCCTCCCCCTCGCCCTCATCCTCCTCCTCTCCCAGGATGTCGATCTCGCCGTCCTCCCCGTCGGAGCCCCGGAGGCTGCGCCGCGGTGTGGAGCGAAGGCTTTCGGGTTTGGGCAAGTTCATGGGGGAGCAGGTCGTGCAAGACGCAGGGGTGGCGGCCGGCCGCTCGCCTGCCTCGAGGGGGTCCGGGCTGGAGGCGGGCGGGTTCGGAGTGTTCCAAAAAGCAAGAGGGCTTGCGGCTGGTTGCCCGTTTGGTGGTGGTCTTCTCTTCCGTTGGTTTCTCCTCGTTGCCAACACCGTCCAGCAAAGATGCACTTTGCCTTTTCTCGGAGCTTCTTCGAGTCCTTGAGTGGTCGACCGCCCCCCACCCGGTCCCCCCCCCCCCCCCCCCCACCTCCCAGCGCTCCCCCGGTTGTTGCGGACGCACGCAGTCCAATGATGAAGGTTCACTGCGCGTTACCCAACAGGGCAAGAGCCTCCAGCCCCCTCCTTCTCCTGAAGGAGGCCACCGGCCACCCAGGAAGATGCGTGGTGAAAGCAAGTTGAAAACCGTGCAAATAGAAGAGGCAGGAAAATAGGACACCCAACAATCTGTGGCCACTTCGATATTCGGGCCTCTCCCCTGGAGGATAGAAAGTGGGGGGTGGGTGGGTGGGTGGCACTAAATGTCTACAGTGTTTGTAAGAAAAGCCTAACAGTATGTGTTCGGGGTTCACAGCCGGTTATTCACCCATTTTCATTGGTGGAGTCCGTGCTCATCCCGAATGATGAGCTGAACCATTCTTAAGTCTTAAGCATTCTTGACTATATCCACGAACTCAGGGGAATGCGAGGGAGGGTTGCACGGTCCCTTCTACTTCCCTCCTTAACTGCCCAACTGAGGTTTCCAGAAAAGGCTGAAACATCCGGGCGTTAAGTTGTGGAAGTTCGGGGTAGAAGGAAAGCAGAAGAGCTAAAGAGAAGTCCCTGGGCATCAGCGCTTCTCGAGCTTCTTTGAACCCTTAACCACAGGATAAAATACGTTTGATGTCACACCCTTGGGTAGATAGACGTCTGCACCTAAATTGGGCTCCGTAAAACAAGTGACCACTGACACAATTGTTTTTCAAATGTCCATCACCAATTAGGTGGTTTGTGTCACGTTCTAACCAGTCCAGAGCCCGTGTGAAAAACCCCGTTTTCACAAAAACAGCCTCCCAACACCAATGGATGCACCCAGTCTGACGATCTCTCAATCTCTTCTTCTTCTTTTTTAAAAGTCAACCTTCAGCACTTTTACTATAATAATAAATATTAAAGTTAAAACAGGGGCACCTGGGTGGCCTGGTCAGCATAGCACCCAACTCTTGATCTCGGGGCTGTGAATTCAAGCCCCACACTGGGCGTGGAGCCTACTTAACAAAACATTAATAATAATAACAAGGCCAAGGGAGAGGTGCGGGGCCTTTACCTTAATCACTAGGTCGGCATTCCCCACCCTGGAGAACAGGGATGTGGCAGAAAGTCTGTTTCGCTCACCTGACATCCTTGGAAGTGGCGATTTCTAGACTGGCTTCATTTAAATCTTACGCTCAGCGACCAGAGTCACGGTCCGGTGGAATTAACTTCATGTGTGTTATATAAATAGGGATCTTGGGGTGAAATACTGAGCAACTGGCTGTTCATAACGTAATAGCCACCTATTTGGGAAAAGAATTTGAGGAGGCATCTGCTAAAAATGCAACATCCACATATTATGCCACCGATGGTCGTAGTAAATCTGCCGTTAGTGTTTGTAAATGATAATGAACTTTCAGCCAGAAACCAGAAGCCAGGTAAAAGAGCAAACTATAACAAAAAAGTAGTTTAAAGTAGCTAGTCGCTTCAGGATTAAAATTTGAAAACTGCTTTCTCTAAAGGATGTTAAGAGCTTGTGCTCTACTCCTGAGATTCTCGCCTTCGCCGTCATATGTAGCTTGAAGGACAAATGATGGAGCTTTTGGGCCTCAGGGATTTGTGTTTGAATCCCAGGTTCACCAGTTACTACTTGGGGGATGACTAAACCAAGCTCAGGGAGGGCTGTGACAGGTGTCTTATCCAACCTCAGACTCCCAGCTGCCTCCCCGTCAACCCCCTGCAGGTAAAGCACATTTCTGCAGGCTGCAGAGGAATCCTGTGACCTGGGAAGGGAGTATTGTTAGTTTTCCTAAAGTCAACATCTATGGGGATTTGGGTGATTTAAAAATGAAAGGAGAAAAGTAAAGGCTTGGGAAACAAAAACAAAAGAATCTCCATTGACGGAGGTATGTATGTCAAGGGGGCATAGGAGACAAGTGAAAGTCCCCTGTGGTGAAAGCTGGGGCCACTCCAGCAAGAAGGATTAGATTACAACCCAAAGCATAAAATAAACATTCGTGTGTGTATCCATACTGATAAAAACTAAATGAGTAAAATAATAAATGGGAGGAAAGAGGGATGCTTGGCTGGCTCAGTTGGTAGAGCATGCAAGTCTTAAACCTAGGGTCCTGAGTTCAAACCCCACGTTGGGCATAGAACCTGCTTTAAAACAAAAAACAAAAAACAAAAAAAACAAAAAACAAAAAACAAAAACGCTCCAAAATATTAAACAGGGCCGGGGGCAGGAGAATTCCTCACTCTTTTACCTCAGGCAGTGCAGAGTGGTTTCCTTCTAAAGATACAGATCCTTCCAAAGATATCTTCCTTCCAAAGATCCTTACAAGTGGAGAAGGGCACAAACACTTCAGCCAGGTCATCAGGGGACCAGTGTTTACATCAATAGTCATAAACCCTTTGACAGTATATGCCTTAATGTGATGTGATGTGATAAAAATAGCACTCTGTGATCATGCTGCCCGGAGCCCATGTGATCAGGAGAAAAACAGACAAATTCTGATAGAGGAGCATCCTGTGTCCCTGACCAGAACCATCCTCAAAACTATCAAGGTCACCAAAACGAGGACAGTCCAAGCCCAGAGGACTCTACAGACAGACGTGACAGGTAACTGCAGTGTGGAGTCTGGGGCGGCATCCTGGAAGACAAAATTGACAGCATCCAAACGGAAAAATGACAGGCCATCTGAACAGGCTGCCTGAATAAGGCTATGTGAATAACCTACAGACTTTAGTTAATAATAATGTATCAATATCAGTCCACGAATTGTAACAAATGTGCCATACTACTGTAAGATATTAACTGAATGTGTGTATGGGGGGGGGGTGGAATATGGGAACTTGAACCACCTGCACTTTTATCTTGTGCTGTCTGTTCACTTTTCCTGTAAATAAAACTGTTCCAAAAATTACATTCTGTTAGTTTAAAAAATTAAACATGGGAAAAAGGCCTAATAGCCAAAAAGGAGAAAAACACCCATCAGGTGATGAAATGGATAAACACCATGTGGTAATATACATAGACTTTCATTCAGCAACAAAAGCAACAAAGTGTTGATACGGGCTGCAACATGGAGGGATCTTGAAAACATCATGGTAAGTGAAAGGAGTCTGAATAGGCCAATTACAGAAACAGACAGTAGCATGGTGGCCACTGGGGGCTACGAACAGGGGGAAATGGGGAGTAACCGTTGATGGATAGTTTCTTTGGGGAGTAACGAAAATGTTCTGGACTTAGCTATGGTGGATTTGCTAAAGCTACGAATTGTACACTTTAAAAGGGTAAAGTTTAGGGGCGCCTGGGTGGCTCAGTCAGTTAAGCGTCCGACTTCAGCTCAGGTCACGATCTCGCGGTTCGTGACTTTGAGCCCTTTGTCAGGCTCTGTGCTGACAGCTCAGAACCTGGAGCCTGCTTCGGAGTCTGTGTCTCCCTCTCTCCCTGTGTCCCTCCCCCGCCCACGCTCTCAAAAAATAAACATTAAAAAAATTTTTAAAGGGTAAAGTTTATCGTATGTGATTATATCTAATGTTATACAAAATATGCCCAGGTAAAAACAAAGAGCTTTATCAATGAAAACGGAGTGCTTTGGAAAGACTCCATTATGCCAAGTCACTCTGGAAAAAAGGAAAGAAGGGGAAGGGGAGGAAAGAGAAAGAAAGAAAGGAAGGAAGGAAGGAAGGAAGGAAGGAAGGAAGGAAGGAAGGAAGGA